CCATAAGGCCGTTTATAACTTTCTGGTGAGTAAATCCAATGGTCAGCTTCCAGTCCTTGCCTGCATCGGCCTCTCTCCTCTTCTTGAAAGTCTCCTCCTTGAGCTCCTGTAACCCCACATGTCCTTGCTTTTTCTCTTTGTTCTCTGACTGTCCGTCCCCTTCCTCTGCCCATTCCTTTATTTAAATGCTGATGTCCACTTTGGCCCCTTCTCTTCACTTTCCCTGCATGATCTCCTCTGGTCCTGTGGACTGAACTCTCCCCACCCCATACTGATGACTCCCATGTCTGCTCTCCAGCTGGGCTAGCTCCTGCTTCTAAACAATCCAGTACCCCTAGTTGTCCACCCCCACCCTAGCTCCAGAAACCTGGGCATCATGTTCACTGCCTCCCTCTCCATCTGCCTCCACATCCAAACTGGTAATTAAATCATTCATTCAGCTCTTCTACAAATATTTATAAGGTGGCTCCTGTTCTAGGAACTTAGGATGTGTCAATGATCAAAACAAAGATCTCTGTCCTTGTGGAGTGTTCATCTTAGTAGGTGTGATGGACAATGAACAATATATGTGAATTATCTATGATGTTAGAAAGTGATAAGGGCTATAGAGAAAAAGTAGAGCAGAATAAAGGGGATCAGGAGTGTGGGGTGGTAGCATGAGACAGGTTGTAATATCAATGAGGGTAACCTGGGTATGCCTCATTGAGAAGGTGACATTTGAACAAATACTTGAAGAAGATGAGGGTGTGAGCCAAGCAGATGTCTGGGAGAAGAGGGAGCAGCTAGACATAGGTGGAAAAGGCCTGGTTTGTTGGAGGAGGTGAGTGTGGCTGGAGCAGAATAAACAAGAGTGTGAATTGTAGGAGAGGAGGCTAGGGCCAGATCGTGTAGGGCCATGTTGGCCATTTCAGGGACTTTGGATTTTACTTTGAGTGACACAAGATGCCATTGGAGGGTGTTGAGCAGAGGTGTAACATAGTCTGACTTAGGTTTAAGAGGATCATTCCAGATTCTATGTAGCGGGGTAGGGGCAAAGGTGAGTGCAAGGAAGCCACTTTGGAGGCTCTTGCAGTACTTTGGCAAGAGATGAAGTCCTATTGAGTCTACCTCCTGATTGTCTCTAGAATTCACCCCTTCCTTTCCATCCTCACTGCCACCATCCTAGTCTAGACCACCATCATCTCATGCCTAGGCAAATGTGATAGCCATCTAGCTGCTCTCCTTTGCTATTCTCTCCTCCCAGCTTATTATCCACACACTGGCCAGAAACACCTCAGAACACCTCCGCTCACATCTTGCCTCTCCTCTCCACACTCTGCCTTCCAGGCATATTGACTTACTTATGGGGGCCCTTGATGTACCATACATTCCACTCCCCAAACAGGCCCTTCGCCTTTTGAATAGGCCTTTCCTTCTCCCAGGAATGTCTCTTAAGTATCATCACAGGAGGCGTTCCTTAACTCCTCAGGCTGGGTGGGGCCCTCTTCTGTGTGTTCCCACAGTGCTCTGTGCTTCTCCCATCATGGCATTTAGCGTCCTGTGTTGACATTGGCTGTGGATGTAAATCTTTCTTGCTCAAGGACAGGGGCCTGAGTCTCCCCTTCCTACACCTGGTGCCTGGCCACCCTGGATTGCAATGCTCACCTTTCTTGGTTTGCCTAATTCTTACCCTGAGGATCCAGTTTAGGCCCCACCTCCTCATATGAGTCCTCCATGAGTTTCTGGGTGAGGTAAGTGCTCCACCTCCATCCTTTAATGCACCCTGAATTTCCCAAATCATAGCAGGAGCTCTTTAGTGAAAATTCTCTTTCTATGGGCCTGCCTACTACAGCCAGAGTGAGAGCACCTAGAGGATGGGCCATATGAGATACAGTCCTGCAACCCTGATGCCATTGTGGTGTCCAGCAAAATTTGATGAACGATTAGATTCACCACCTCCGTCTCTCTCTCACCTGACCCTTTCAGGCCTTTGAAGAAATCTGCAGCTAGGGCTTGTGTTTCTGACTGAGAAGTCTAGCCTTCTCTGTAGCCCAGGTTTTCAGAAGTGGCAGCTGCTACTTTCTCCAAAGCTGGATGTTGGGATGGGCCAGCAGCTGTGGTCATGGCTCCCTGACCACCTGTCTGGGTTAGCTTTGCTCTCTGAAGCTGTGCCTGGTCCAGGGCCCATGGGATCCAGCCATGCTCAATTGTCTGAAGAGCAGGCCCTGGATATTTCTAAAAGACATCCTCTCTGTTGTCCCAAAACATGTTAACATCCAGAGCTCCAAGAGCAGGTCTTCAGGCTTCCCAACAATATAAAATTACCAGGCAGCACAGTATGACCTACATCTAGGAGAAGAATCATTCAGCAGAAACAGAATGACACTGACGATAGCATTAGTAGACAAAGATGTTAAAACAGCTATGAGGAAAACATGAGAGAAAAGAGATTGTTATGGACTGAATTATATCCCCCAAAATATGTGCTGTAAATCCTAACCTGTAATCTGTGGCTGGAGTCCTGGTGGCACAGTGGTTAAGAGCTCAGCTGCTAATCAAAAGGTTGGCAGTTCGAATCCACCAGCTACTCCTTGGAAACCCTATGGGACAGTTCTACCCTGTCCTATAGGGTTGCTATGAGTTGAATCCACTGGACAGCAACCGGGTATGCCTGTGGTTATAATCACATTTGGGAATGGGCTGCCTTTGTTATGTTAACGAGGCAGGATCAGTGCAGGGTGTATCTTGAGTCAATCTCTTTTGAGATGTAAAAGAGATTAAACAAGCCAGCAGAAGAGAGATGGGGTAAGATGCAAGACACCGTGGAGATCTCTAAGGAACCAGGAAGCAGAAGTTTGAGGAGACCAGGATCTTCCTCCAGAGCTGACAGAGAGAAAGCCTTCTCCTAGAGCTGGTGCTCTGAATTCAGACTTCTAGCCTCCTAAACTGTGAGAAAATAAATTTCTGTTTGTTAAAGCCATTCATTTGTGTTATTTCTGTTATAGCAGCACTAGATA